GTGCGGTTTCTCTTTCTGTGTGTGTGTGTGTGTGTGTGTGTGTGTGTGTTAGCACTCAGTACTCTCGGAGTCTTTGGGGTCATATGCACATTGCTTTAACCTTTTTTAAAAATGGTGAGTTGATAGTTATATTGTTGGAAATTGGTGGTCTCTTGGCCATGTCCGTCCGTCCATCCATTGGTCCGGCCCTTGTCTCTCACGTGTACTTACCCTGAGTGGCAGCATGAGAGTCCCCAGGAAGTGCTCACCCCCTGTCCTCTCCTTGTTCATGAATCCTCGTGCCTGGCCTCCAGGATGGAGCAAGTCAGCAAGCAGGTCTCCGCTGTGACCGCCCCTTTCCCTTTGCCCTCAGTCGGCCCCACATTCGCCTTGGAGGGAACTGCTGATGAGGTTTGGTGAAGCTTCCCGAGGAAGACGCAGAGCCATCTTTAACTGCTGTCGGCAAGGAACCTAGGGCTACAGATGTTAATGTTACAAACATGGGGCCAGTTCTTGATATTTCATCAGAAAGCATGTGCTGGGCTTTCCTGACCCCTCACCCATGAAGACACGGGCCTGGCCAATCCTACCGGTCCTGGCCTTCGCTGATCGGGAAGGTCAATCTGGGAGAGGCAGAAGATAACACCGGACGTCAAGAGGTCCTGGGTCTAGGGAAGTGGGCCGCCCTCGACTTCCCCAGACTGGGGCATGTGAAGTCGGGGTGTTTGCTGAAAGGCTGGCCTGAAGACAGACGAGGTCTCTGCTCAGAGCAGAGCTGCCCCTGGGGCTCTGAGGCTGTGACCCTTCACAGGAGCGGACAGCCCGTCTTTCTCCCATGGAGCAGTGAGTGGGCTCAGACTGCAGCCTATGCCTGACCCAGGTCACCATCGGTGCTCCGGCCCATCAGTAAGACTGTGTCGCCCGTTCCACAAGCTGAGCAGCACTTGCTTTGGCATTCCCATATGAAGAGGAGTCCCCGGCAGTGCCCAGGGTGCAGGGCTGCACTGCAGCCCCAATCCACCGGGATGTGCCTGCCGAGAAAGGCTTGGTCCTCTGCCTCAGGAAGGCCAGAGTCCTGCTGCACCACGGAGCTCCTCTCCCCCCTCCCTGTGGGGTCACCAGCTCCAGCATGAGATTTGGATCCAAGGGAGGAACAGGCCTTCTGTGTTTGTTCAGACCAGTGTCTTTCAACACAACCCTTACTGAGGGGAAGGAGCGAGCGGCAGAGATGAAGCCCAATGTGCCTGCCTCACCTTTCCACTGAAAGCCCCTCAGCAGACCCTCCCCAAATGGCATCGCTGATCCCTGGTCAGCTCTCTGACACACCCTGGCTTGGTCTGACACCACGCGTCCCTCTGAGGGGCAACTGGGGGGTCTCTGTCCTCCTCGTTCCCCTCCCTGACACGAACAAGGCAAGGGGTGCGAGTCACATCAGACCCCCGCGCACGGCATGGAGAACACAGCCCCGGTAGGTGGCCCGGTCTGCTGAGCAGGGACGTTCCCTGCGGAGAGCAAAGCACGGGGTGCCAGTGTCACCCGCCTAGGTGAGGTGCCATCTCGGAGAAGCAAGGGGAGTGAGCGCCTGCTTCATTCTCACTGATGTTTACGAGGAATGCCAGAGAGAAATGCTTCCACCCTACACACGAAGGAAAAGCTATCAGACACATTCGCTTTACAACCGATCGGGGAATCGTGCCGGCTGGTCTCACAGTTAACTTTCTTTGCATAAAAACGCTCGATCTACCCAGGCCTTCAGTGCTGTGTCCATGCAGAACACAGCCAAGTCCTACACTCTCGATCTTGGCCCGTTTCCTATAAATGGCAGACCTCACTAATTGAAGGTCATCTTCAAAGTCATTTTCTTTCCCTGATTCAAATTCCCAAAGAGCCCCCTGGGCTGCGCTGTGGGTAAGCCTCCAAAGACCAGAGAAACCATGTTTCTTTCCCGGCCCCAGAAAGCCTGGCTTACAGGTGGGTGTTGGCCCTCAGAGGAAGAAGCAGGGGGGCTAAAACAACCAGCAGAAACTCCAGTTGGACAACATTGAGTCACCTGCCTGCACCACTCAGTCAGCCTGACAGACTCTGACAAATGTCACACTTTTACGGACAGCCTGAAAATTCTGAGTGACATGCCTTGCCCTTGATCAAATGGACCCCCATGTGCCCACTTCACCCCTCAGTGTGTACCCTTACGCGTGGCCCTGGAGGCAGGGAGAGTGGCCCCCAGAGTCTCCAAGGCTGTTGTCTTTCTCCCACGGAGCAGCTGGCAGGCTTGAACTGCCAACCTTGAGGTTGGCGGCCCGATACATATCCCACAGGGCCACGGGGGCTCCTGTGATCATCCACACACACCATCGCTGGGGGCCGTCGATCCATCACCACCTGCACTGCCTGGGGGCCAGTGTGAGCACGGGGACACGGGCTTCACAGAGCTCCTGGAGGAAGGGAGCTGAAAGGTGATGAAAATTCCCCACAGGTTCTTTGAAGCTCTCTCCTGAGTATATCCATCCACCTCTCCGCCATGGAGTCAAGGCCCACTCACAGGGACCCCATGGGACAGGGTGGAACCGCCCCTGTGCGTTTCCAGACTGCCACTCTTTGAGGAAATAGAAAGCCCGGTCATGCACCCTCAGAGGATGTGCCTGGTGGTTTCAAAATGTTGACCTTGTGGTAGCAGCCAATGCATAACCCACGAGGGCTCCAGTCCCAACGCACGGGGCCTGTGTAAGGATTCCAGACTGCAGATCCCTGTGGGGCAGACAGCCTCCTCACCTGTCTTTCTCCGAGATCCCCTGGTGGATGTGGACAGTAAGCAGTCCAGTGTCTGACCTGCTGCACCAATAGGGGACAATGCAATCCTGGGAACAGCATGGTTAGAAACACTGGTCTTCCTGCCCCCTTCTGTCTGCTTTGGCGGCACGAGTCCTGGTGTTTCCCGCTGCGGCCACGAGCCCCCTCACAGTCTGTGTGGCTCCGGTGCAGTTCAGCTGCTCTCCCCAGCTCGGCCCCCCTCGGCGTGGATCGTGAGTATTCACGGCTTTGTCCCAGGAAGCAGCCCACACACAGCTGTTGGGTGGAGCTGTTGGGCGCACAGTGACGCCAACAGGCTGGCTGAGGACCGCGCTTGGCCGGGTCTCGGTGACTCTGGTGGTCAGCGGCAGGAAGGAGGGCTCCTCAGGGCTCGCCCACCAACCTGGCTCAGTGCCCCAGCAGAGGCCCAGCGGGAGACCGTGGACAGAGGGCTTGGTGATGCCCAGGGCTTCACCTGCCCGTCAGTCCCATAGGGGTGTCTGGGATGAGGGAAACAGCCCTTTCTGACTATGCTCTGAGGTTGAGGTTCTGTTTGACCCCTTCCTCCAAGGTCACTCTGGGTCTAGCATCCCATTGTCTGGAGGTAGATCCAAGATGGATGGACAGTCTGGAGGTGGAGGGCCCCACTGCGAGGCTGGGAAGAGATAGGGTGTCTGTGGGAAAGGGGGCGAGAGGAAGGGGAAGCCCATGCCCTCACAGGATCTGCACTGCCTCTGTTTTGGTGCTGGGTGCCTCATTGCTTCCATGAGAGTGAGGCCCCCCAGCTGGCTGGGCGCCCTTTGGGTGCTGGCGGATGGAAAGGGTGTCCGTGGTGAACATGTGCTGGTCTCTCCGGGTGGATTCAATTAGAACATCTTAACATACGCTTTAGAAAAGCATTCTGGCTTCAGGAAATGACATTAGAGCAAGATCTTAGAGGGGCTGCATTAGCCCCGGGACCGTCCGTCTGTTTAGACGGTCGGCGTGATCGGCTGCCGTGTTAATGGCGCGTCACAGAGCTATCATCATACAGGACGGTGCGTGGCTGCTCTCGTCTGCAGAGGAAACAGATTAAGGGACACTTAGGGCACTTAGAAGGTCGGCACTGCATGAGCCTGTCCCTTGCACACGTGCCCCAGGACATGGGACATCACAGTGCAGAGCCGTAGACGGCCTATGACAGAGAGGGGTCATTGTCATGTAAGGTGATCATGTCCAGAGTATTTTCACTATTTAAAAAAAACCTGTGTCTCATTAATCTATGAAATTCTTACTGAATTCTCTCACCGGGTGCCTGGTGGTGAACCAAACATGGTTTTCTGCCCGTTGCAACCAATAACCAGGCTTAGTCTGACTTGGCTCCCAAGCTAAACATGGAACCAGTTCTCTGATGCAAGCGTGTGTTTACCCATTCATGTAACAACCAGCACAGCTCAGTCAGCGAGGCCAGCTCTGAGCACGTGAGCCAGGAGCAGCGCTGGGGCCCCTCCTGGTACTGCACACAGATGATGCCCAAGGACGCGTGCCCGCCCTTTCTGAAAGGCCTGGTGCTCGGGGTGAGGGGCGCCCACCCAGTCAGCAGCAGTGGCCCCATTGGTGGGGTCCTCGGCCCAGCTGAAAGCGATCGTGGCACGGGGGGCTCTCTCGTTGGCCTGTTAGAATAACAATTTACCAAGCCAACCACCACACACTGGATTCTTTGCGCAGCCCTGATTCCGAGGCATTAATAATAGATACAACCGCACTCTGCTCGGGTGGCTGCGGGCAGCGGGGAATTATTCCGATGAATATTTCAGCACATTATTTTAATCATCGTTGCACCAAATCCAAGTGGGCAATATTTTATGCTTCTTAATTCCGTCTGCGAAAGGAGGGGTCGTTAAATTGCACGCTGTTTGCTGCCAGGTCTGCCCATGATTTACGGGCCTGGTTAGAAACGGGGAAGAGGCGCAAACGGTGCCATTAAGACCTGTCATGTGAGGAAACCCAGTGATGAACGCTCGGGCCCTGGAGGACGGCGGTGACTTGGAGTGGGGCTCGGGGTCCTGATGTGCCCTCTCCTCAGGCCCTGCCCATTTGCAGGGAGACCACCACAGGCCAGCCGAGGCGCTCAGACCCAGCCCTCACAAGCGCTCCACGGAGACCCAGCGTAATCCTGTGGTTTGGGGGGACAGGGGTGCTGTGGGGCCGGCCGGCCGTTGACCCTGATGGCTCCTCCTCTCTCCCCGCAGCCAGTTGCACGACTTCTGGCGCCTGGACTACTGGGAGGATGACCTGCGGCGCAGGAGGCGCTTCGTCCGCAACGCCTTCGGTTCCACACACGCGGAGGCCTTGCTCAAGGCGGCCATCGAATACGGTCAGTACCTGCCCTGCGGCTGCTGTCCCTCCCCCTGCTCTTCCACACCTGCTGGAGTTCTCCCTGAGCCTGGCCAACAGAGCCGCTTCTCCTCCGGCTCCCCTAGAGCGCCCGCCCCTTCTGCCTGTGGATGAAGGGGCTGCACCCAGCTCTCAGGCCCAGCCACCCTCCCTCCTTCTCAGGCCAGTCAGTCCTTCCTCCACGTCCTTCAGACTTGGGTTGGTGGTCACCTTGCACTAATGCTTACACACTTTGATCATGGGTGTGCGTGTGTGCACTGTCCGAGAAGGGCTATGCATATGTACACACACGTGTGTACAAGGGTAAACCCGAGAATGTTGCTGCTAGTGTCCCTGTTCAGAGTTCATGCCAGAGGAAAGGTATGCAGACTGCCTGGTGCTCAGTGGGTGGCTGCAGGTCTGCTCTCAGTCCCACACCCACCTTCAGCAAACGATGGCCCGTCGCAACGGTGCCATCTGCGGGAGCGATTTCAGGCAGGCAGTCCATGCAGAAGGTGATGGCGACTGTCTTTTGGAATCTTGACGGATTTTCATGCAGGACGCAGGACAGTCCCGGGGACTGGTCATGCAGAAGTCTTCAGAAAATGGGAGGCTGCCCTGGTGGGAAAGGGACCCAGAGCATTTGGCGGAGGCACTGCCCGTCACCACAGGTGGCTGCTCATTCCCCAGGACAGCAAGGGCTGTCGGCTGGGGTTTCGTTGGGAAGGTCCGGCACCCACCTCTGGCCTGGCCTTGTCCCTTCAGATGCCGTTGTCCACACAAACTCAAAGCACACGGGGACACGGCAACAAGGCTCTGAGAGCCGGAGGAGGCCCAGGGAGCTTCTCCGCTGTCACTAAGAGCCTGCGGGGTGATTCTGACCCAAGGCGACCTGCTGTAGCACAGAACGAAACACCACTCTGCCCTGTGCCATCGCCACCGGTGTTCTCAGGCCGGGACTGTGTTACAGCCACTGTCAGTCCACCTCCTTGAGTGCCTTCCTCTCCTACCGGGCACGAGGCCCTTGGCAGGGGTTGCTCTCTCGACTGCGTGTCAGAAGCACGTGAGACGAGTCTACCCGTCCTTGCCTCTAAGGAGCACTCTGGTCCTGCTTCTTTCAGGACTGTCCTTCGGGCAGTCCGTGGGACTCGCAGTATTCTCCAGCGCCACAGTTCAAATGCATCGTTTCTTCTCCGGCCGTCCTTGTTCAGTGCCCCGCCTCCACATGCGTATGAGGCAGTGAGGCACCTTAGTCCTCCGAGCAACATCCAGGCTCTTCAACACTTTCCGGAGGTTTCCTGCAGCAGACTGACCCATTGCAAGGGGCCATCTGATCTCTCGACTGCTGCTTCCATGAGCCTTGACTGTGCGTCCAAGCAACAGAATGCTGCGCACCTTGAGCCTTTTACCCATGGGCCGCAGCGCTGCCTGCCGGCGCCATTGTGCGGGTCCTGGCCTTACACGGGAGCAATGGCAGTGTGGACACAGGCCACGCTGGGGAGCATCCCTTCACAGTCCCATACTTGGGCTAATAAATGGCTCTGTCAATTTGTGCCTTTTGACTCGCCCAGAAGTCTCACCAATACCCTCACTACTTGTCTTTTCTACTTCATTGCTACTGCAGTACAGCTAAGTGTGTTTGGTGGCACACATAGCCCTTAGGGTGTGTCCTGTCTGCACCTGCAGCCTGTTTCCTCACTCTCCAGCTCAGGTGCTTAGAAGCCCCAAGTGCCACGAGGTGGACGTGGGGCCAGCCTCCTGCCGACCTGTGTCTGCCCCACCCAGGTACGCAGGCTTCCTGCAGAAGATGTAGGGAGAAGCAAGCAGCGATCTCTATGGAGCTGAAAGCAGACTGATGCGTGTGATTTAAAGAAACAGTGGTGGCCACGTACTACCAGAAGACTCTCCTAATGTGAAACCCTGGGCCCATCCAGGGTAGGCCGTGGGCCCGTGTGAGCGAATGCTCAGAGCGCAGACAGTGGTGCGGACAGAGACCCACTTCAGACTCATCGCACTTCAGCTTAGCTCTTCTTGCACGTCACCTAGCTCCTGAATGTCAGAGGCCCTGCTGTTCCATAAGGCTGCCAGTTTGAGCCCACCAAACACACCACAGGAGAAAGATGGGCTGTCGTTCTGTCCAGGTTGATAGCCTGGGAAAGGAACTCTTCATTTTAAACCCCACTCTGACTCACGGGGTCCCTGTGAAGTGACTGCGTGGCAGTGGGGTTGGCTGACTGTGAACCCCTGGAAGGGAAGCGTCCAATGCCCAGAAAGTGCAGTGCCGGCTCCAGTGCAGGCCTCATTTTCTGTGGAGGGAACTAGAAAGCCTTTAGGAACAGGAGAATAATTGTGCTGGTGGAAGGTCTGGATGACTCTCAGTATTTGATCCGTGGGGCAGGGGTTCTTAAGAGCTGGGAGGGCAGCCTGAGCTTTCTCAGCCAGGGCCTGGGACCAGCCCGGATTTCTGAAACCCTGACCTCGTTCTGCTTGTGTGGGAACCGCTGCTTCAAAAACACGCCCAGCAGAGAAGCACGAGGGGCTCGGCAGGCTCCGTGTCCTGTGCATGTTGGGAGTCACTCGCTCCTCCGGACACCCTGACTCCACAGCTGCAAGAGACCAAGCTGAAGCTGCTGGGGGCCGGGCCAGCCCGCCACATCTCGCTCTCCTCACACTGTGCTGGGCCAGCGCCCGCGTCCGAAAGCCTCTTCGAGCAGCAGGCAGCCTGAGGTGGCTGGACGCGCCAGGGGTCCTGGAGGACGGCCCTTCACCCCCATCTCCCGAGGAAAACTTTGCAACGACCTTTTCCTGTTCGGAAACAGCCCTAAACCCTGATGGCGTTCCCCGGCTTCTTAGTCAGACTAATGAGCTGAATAATTGATGAGGCTGTCATGTGCAGGAGATTTGGTGTGATCTGAGATATTTTCCGCCTCTGGTGCTGGGATGTGATTAATAAAAACCTAGAGGCATGTTATCCCTCTCCCCCTCTCAACCCCCCCATGTTTCACGTGCTAATTTTGCATTTATTGGAGGTGTTGTTCAGGTGTTTGGTAATCGCAGCATCTCATGCACATGCAAGTTTGATGCCTTCTCGGGAACGTGGCAGAGCAGCGCGGGGAAGCGCACAGAAGCCGAGCTGAGCACTGCAGTTCACAGGCTGGCCGTCCCCAGTCCCCACAAAACATGGCTAAAACATGCACCCAGAGACTAGCTCTGCAGCTAAAGGGATGGTTTTCTGACCTTCGGGGCTGCCTTCATTCTTCAGGGCAAATTAGTCATGGGGAAATCATTGAAAAGGGCCAGAGGCAGGGGATGGGAAGTGCTCAAAGAAAGCCTAGACCAGGTACCTCCCAGAGCATGAAGATTCTGGTTGTGCCCACGCCTGGGTGTGCTTGGGTCCTAGCTGTTGACTGTTCGTTCCCACGGGGGCTGCAGGCTCCTCGGTGCCTGTGGGCAAACACATCATCCTACCCAGGTCTGATTGGGTGCTGCAGAGGGGGGTCGGCAGCCTTGGGCCACAGAAAGGAAAAACACAACACAACGAAAGCACAGAGCAAGGATGACAAAGTTAATCAGTCGTGTCTGCAATAAAGAATAAGCTAGGCTGAGAGCTACAAACGAGGGCACCCTCCGCCCCTTGGAGCTGCGTCTGCTTAACACCCCATTTATCGGAGCCTGCAAAGCTATCAGGGCTGACCTTGATGGAGAAAAGCAACTCAGTAATGAACCGGGAATTAAATTAGCCTTGATGGGGGTTGCATGGCTAGTGCAATGTGCTGCTTGTCTCCCTCCGGAAATACTCCAAGGAGAGGGGGGCCGAGAGCCAAGCCTGCTAGCCAGTGAGTGAGAAGAGAGAGGTCACATGGCCGGACGTGCATGCAGTTTAAACCATTTACTCTCATCGCAGCACAGGGGCGGGGGGAGCGGTGTACTGACTCTTATTGGTACCCCATGGAGACCCCGCCAAGGGGGCACCTCCCTCTTGGTAGTGAGTGGTCTGAGTGGAAACCCAGGTCTGGAATAAAATGAGAGGCCCAAGTGGGGCTGAAATGACCTGTGGAAAAGCCCGTGAAAAGAGGAGGCGAGAGGCCGAGGGAACCCCTTCCAGCCCTGGTGCTGTGCCCACGTCAGCCTGTGACATCTTAGTCTTCCACCCTGCCCTCTGGGTTCTGCCTAGTCCTTTCAGGAGGTTGAAGGGGATTATGTAAATGCTAATCACACACTATGCTCAGACATGACTTTGACAGATACTACATTGCCGCGTCTGTTTGCAGCCTCCCATCTGAACCTTACACATGAAAAACTAACAATAACAATGGAGGGGGGTTGTTTGGTTCGGAGGAAATAAGTGGGATGGACGCCTTGCAGGCAGTTATGTAACACCCACTCACACAGTGCGCATGCCCGTGCTGGTCCCAGGACGACGACGCCCCGTGTAGCTACTCTCTGCCTGCCAGCACTCGGGGTGGTTCTCGACTGAAGTGGGAGCCCTTTTGCCACCCAGCACACATGTGCCAATGCTCAGTGACAATTTGATCCCTGTGACCGAGGGGGCTGGATTACCAGCATATGTTGTGGTTAGTGCCCTGGAATAGATGCTGACCTAGAGCTACGCTCGGGAACAGAAGGAGCATCCCTGGTCCTGCTCCCACTGCTCTCTTGAGACCAGTGTTGTGGCCAGTGTGTCAGACCATCACCTCTCTTTCGCTGCCCCTCTGCTTTACCAAGCACACGTGTCCTCCAGGGACTGGTCCCTACAGATGGCGTGCCCAACACGCCTCAGACAGAGACTTACCACGTGCTCTCCCAGAGGGCATTCTGGCTACATTTCTTCCAAGACATGGAACCCAGCATTACAGCAACTAACAGCAGCCAAGAAATCAAATGACCCAGTGAGTTGGGAAAATATGCAGCCTAGGACTTCGTGATTCAAGCATTCATGAAAGCGTCGAGGAGCAAGGCTGTTTGGTGTTTTTGATGGCCTCTTACTTATGAGAGAGCCAG